CGATTGTACTATTAAGTACCACCCAGGAAAGGCAAATGTGGTAGCTGATGCATTGAGTAGGAAGAGAGAGAGTCCTTTACCCGAATTGGTCTCTTTGAGGGCCATGAACGTGGAATGGGAATTAGAAGAAGTAACGAAGTTGTTAGCAACCTTGAAGGTTCGCCCTATGTTACAGGAACGTATCAAGGAGAAGCAGAGTGAAGATACAGAATTGGGGAATTATAAGAAACGGGTGTTAGAAGGGAAGGACACCAAATTTGAATTGGTAGATGGTGTACTGATGTATCAAGGAAGATTGTGTGTGCCGGATGTCGACAAGTTGAGAAAGGACATTCTGGACGAGGCTCACTCTGCACCATATGCAATGCACCCTGGTGCCACAAAAATGTATCGTACCCTCAAGGAGCATTTTTGGTGGCCAGGATTGAAGAAGGATGTAGCAGCACATGTTTACCAGTGCCTGGAATGTCAAATGATTAAGGCTGAGCATCAAGCCCCAGTCATTGAACACCTACCGCTGGAGATTCCACAATGGACTTGGGAGAAGATCACTATGGACTTTGTGTATGGATTGCCGAGGACCCCGAAGGGAAATGACGGAGTATGGGTAATTATAGACCGATTCTCAAAGGTGGCTCATTTTATACCAATCAAGTTCAAGCCAGGGCTGGAAGAACTGGCTAGATTGTGTGTGAGAGAGATAGTAAGGCTACATGGAGTTCCACTTAGCATCGTGTCTGATCGCGATCCTAGCTTCACGGCACGATTCTGGGTAAGTCTCCAGAAGGCTATGGGCACTAAGGTGCATTTCTCTACTGCATATCACCCCCAAACTGATGGACAATCAGAGAGGACGATTCAAACGCTGGAAGACCTGCTAAGGGCGTGTGTATTGACGATGGAGGGAGCTTGGGACGAGCATTTGCCCCTAATGGAGTTTGCTTACAATAACCAGTATCACAGCTCGATACAAGCAGCTCCATATGAGGTATTGTATGGGAGAAAATGTCGCACGCCACTATACTGGGATGAAGAAGGAGTGCGACAACTAGAAGGTCCGGATATGGTACAGAAGGCAGTGGAAAAGGTGGAGGCAATTCGTCGAAACTTGAAGGTGGCCCAGGACCGGCAGAAAAGTAATGCTCAGAGGCCAGGAAACCCACGCAGTCATGAAGTGGGTGATATGGTATTTCTGAGGGTGTCTCCTTGGAAGGGAGTGATGAGATTCGGTAAGAAGGGAAAGCTTAGTCCGAGGTATATCGGTCCGTACGAGGTGTTAGAGCGTGTGGGACCATTAGCCTATCGACTAGCTTTACCTCCTAGTCTATCTAAGATTCACGATGTCTTCCATGTGAGCATGTTGAGGGCGTATCGGGCTAACCCTGAACATGTGATCAGGCATGAGGACATCCAGTTGGAGGACGATTTGACTTACGAGGAAACCCCAGTCAAGATCGTGGATAAACAGGAAAAGAAATTGAGAAAAAAGAAGATTGTAATGGTAAAAGTGATATGGAGGAACCAGGGCAACGAGGCTGCTACTTGGGAAACAGAAACTAGCATGCGAGAGAAGTACCCGGAATTGTTTAGCGATGCTTAGATCAGTGGATGATCGGTCCCAATGTATTTTAGCGTTCAGATCTCAATACGGAGATACGTACTATTTAATAATAGTCCCGGTAATTATGTTGTGTTCTCCAAAGTACAACAAGGCAGTTCACCCAAAATTTCGAGATCGAAATTTATTTAAGGGGGAGGGAAATGTTACATCCCACTATGTCCAATTCTAATTGAATACGATTTACCTCGGCACAATTAGTGGCATCTTATTTCCCCAACCAACAGTTCCAATTTCGGGGACGAAATTTTTATAAGGGTGGAGGAAATGTAACACCCCGACATTTGAGTTCATGTTCGATCATGATAAATGAACGATTGGATAGACGGTTACGTATAAAGGATTGCGAATTAGGAATAATAATAATAACTTATTATTATTATTATTAGTAAAGAAAAACAAAAAAAAAAACAAAACAAAAAAATAGAAAACCCACCCCACCCCATCTGTACACCACCCCACTTCTCCCTCTCTTTACCGTGACCACAACTAATGCCCACCCATCCCATCTCTCTCGCCCCAGTCCCCTGCAAAGCCTCACAAGAGACCAAATCATATCATTTTATTATCCTGCCATAATTTGGAACGGCAATAAAAGAACCACCATACTTGATAGGGCTGTCCAATTTAATAGGAGAGTTGGGCAGTTGAAGAAGGCAATGTCGGTGGAACTTTCTTTTAAGTTGAATCTCATCCCCTTCCATGAAATTACGACCCATTGTTCTCCCTCCCGTAAACACTCACGAGTGCTATCTATCTCTCTCACCATTTTTGGTTCTTCAACTACAACGCAGACCCATTAGCTCCACCATTGTATTCCATAAACGTAAACGTCAAACAAAACGAGAGGGAAGGTAGCTTGCAGCAGCCTAGGAAGGAAAGAAAACCCGACCGTAGTCTCCCTCTCTCTCTTGACTCCGCCATCGCCACCACTTCCTCTCCCCGCCATCAAACACATCGCCACCACCAGCCAACCTCGTCCATCTATTCTGATCTCGCCTAGCAACAGCAGCAGCCTAAGCAAGTAGCAGCCCTTCTAGCGCAAGCGAGCATTGTTCGTCCGTCGCCCTCGTTTCCTCTCGTGCTCACATTAGTCCTAGCACGTCTCGTCGGTTGACCACGAGCACGACCCTCTCGGTACTGCCTTATCCTGCCAAACAAACACGACCCAGGCTCGGTAAGAATCTCGAACCCGAATTTCCGTCCACCTTGAGTTATGTTGTAGCTAATCGATCCGCGTACGTAATGAACCGTAGCTTTGCCACAAGACGTCGTGGACTCAAACGGCGATCGACTAGGAGGAACGACGCCCAGAATCATCAAACCCAGTTTTATGATCGATCCCAAGGTAACAGATCCGATTCTATGAGATTAACTCGAGTATTAGCGTATATGCAAGTTATGGGTTTTTAGCAACGAAACTTACAGTCTTTTAGTGACGAAATTGACGCTGTCTCAAATGATTGCTGGGCTATTGTCCAGATCAGTCCCCCATGAATTCAGTACATACAACTTAGTCCCTCAGAGTTTTAAGTTTTGATAATTTGGCCCGAAAATCATATTTTGTTTTCATGGTTATGTTTATTTCCGACACTTTCCAGTGGGTATTTTCATAATATGATAATTTTATAAATTTGAGAATATTTGTATAATGCTCGTGTATAAATTTTAGAATTTTTGGATCTGTATTTGTATTTATAAAAATTAAACGAATGTTGGTTTTAATTAATTAAAATACTGTACGAAGTCGTTTTGGTGATTTGATAATTTTACATGAAACTATGATTATTTACAGATGTTATAAAATTATAGAGGAGAATTATTAGTTTTTGTGACTCGGTTTAAAAATTATATATGATTAATTTTAATAGGAAAAAGAGGTTATTTAAAAGAGGGCTTATGTTTATTAATTGAGATTAATGATTTGAGTTAACCAAGGTCAGAATTTAGAATCTTAAATGGAAAATATATTTTGAGAAATTTATGAGGATTTTATAAGAGCTATTTTAGGAGTTATTGAATTGTTTGAGATGATTTAATTCTTGAATTAAAGGGTTGAAAAGTTTAGTTTTGAGGAAATGATTTAAAAGAGATTGAGGGCCATTTTTAAAGGATTTTGGGACTAAGTAATCAATGAGGGAAATTTTCCCAATACGTTAATGGGACTAAATTTGAGGATTACCAACTAAGGGAAGATGATTTCAGTTTATAGGATTGAAGAAGCGATCGGATTAAGGATTTCACGTCAAGGGAACTAAGAATTGTCATTTGAGAGGTGAGTGGTTTAAGGGGGTAAATTCTACGCCTTACGTAATTTCAAGTATTTGACTTATGAGTTTTACGTATGTGTGTTTATGTGAATCGTATGCCAGTGGTTGATTTATGTCGTGATTGATAAAGCATGTTTTATTTGAGATATTATCTGAGATGCTCTATTTGAGTTATGATTGTGAAGTATATGATTATTTGAGCTGTCAGTATTTACTTGAAGCTTTTATATTTATGTTATTTAATGAAGGTTGCTTGATCTTTAAGGATCAACATTTAAGAGGTATTTCACTCCTAATTAAATTAGGGTGAAAAGATTTTAAGGTAGTTCACTAACGCCAGTCCCCCGCCCCAGTGAAAGTTTAAAGGAAGAGCAAGTTGCTCTTAAGGAACATGTGGATGAATCACTTAGACATCACATGAAATTTAAAGGAAGAGTATGATATACTCTTAAGGTTTATGGGGTTGAATTGATTACTCCCATAAAAAGGTTTAAGGAAAGGCCTATGTTGGCCCTCATACGTATGAGCTGGGCGGTTGGACTAGTTAGTGAGGGGATCCCAGAGTCGTCAAAGGTTTAAGATTTTTGAGGGTGGCGAGTAACAACAACTCCCACGTTTTTAAGGGTTAAAATTTAAAGGGTGGAAGTATGAACAACTTCCACAAGTTTTTGAGGTGAACACTTAAGGGAATACCCGTAAGTGCTTCAAGTTTTAGTAATGGCGTAGACTGACCCCAACCCACTCACCAGGTCGTAGAGGGGGAGCTAGGGAGCATCCAGTCGAGGAGCACCCAGTGAGAGAGCAGGCTACCAGAGGGGGACCACGTGAACACTTCTGAAGATGTCTGATCACGGATCGGAGTAAGCAGCATTTGTAATCTTTAGTTATTTGCTTTATGATTATGAGTAATGACTGGAGATTTAAAAGGATAAGAATTTATGGTTTGAGGTTTGCCCAAATGTTAGAGCTTTGCTTATGAATTATAACAATTTCTTTTCAGTATTGGTATTTCAAGCACATTATTATTTCTTTCTTCCAAAATTTTAAATATGCTCCGGAGCAAAATTGTTATTTAAGGGTTTTAGAAATCGGGATGTGACAGTCTGTATGGTAGAGTGAGTTTGATGTAGACTTCACTGCACCACATGTAAGAGATATGGTGGATACTATCATGGCTCGTCGATTCCGACAGTTCAAGTATCGCTGCCATCAACACTACAAGAATGAGACGGACAAGGTGAAAGCTCGGGAGAATCCAATAGAGGAAGTGAACATTGATGACTGGAAGCTACTCTGTGACCATTTTGATAGTGTGCAATTCAAGGTAATCTTAAAACAACCTACCTGAATACATTGAATATTAGGATTCAATTTCCTAAATACAGAATGATATCCTCATAATGCAGAAGCGAAGTGACATAAATGTAGACAATAGAAGCCAAGTATTGTATCCTCATACAACAGGTGCTAAGTCACTTAGTCAAAGGATTTTTGAACTGGTAAGCGAAAACATATGTTTGTGGTTGTTTCACTGGATATACCATTTTGTAAATCTTATGAGATTATTTTCTAACATTAGAATGAGAAGGAGAAGACGGCAAATAGCGAGAAAACTAATGATGGAGTGGAGCCGAGTAACGGTGAGCAGCAGAATGACTCAGCAGAGCAGCAGAACCCTACTGTGCCGCCTCCAGAGGTGGTTGTGTATGCTGACACTCATAAGAGGCATGATGGAAGCTGGGTTCATCCAGATACCGAGAAAAATTATGTATGCCTCTATGTGTGTGAATACTTTCATGTGTGAATGCACATGTATGGATGTTGATTACTGAGTGAGTTGTTGTTTGTTTCCTTGTAGGCCAATATGACTGCCTTGAGCAGTCAGTCAGGTAATAATGTTCCACGTTCTGAGATTGTTGACAAGGTGCTGAAGAAAAATCCAAGGGTATCTAGAAAGGAAGCACGACGATCGGCTAGAGAGATTCAGCTGGAGAGAGAATTGCAAGCCGAAAGGCTAGAAAGGCGGGCAGAAAGGGAGACTTTTGAAAGGCAGACCAAGCAATTTGAGGAGCAAATTGAAATTCAGCAGTCGAAACTACAAACTCAAGACACAAAGTTTGAGGAGATGGAAGCATCGCAGCACCGTCTTGAAGCTATTGTTCGTGACTTGGCTGCTAGAATGACTGGAAATAACAACTGAAGGAGGTAATCTACTATCTCCTTTGAGAGATAACAACATAACTAATGCAACAGTCTGAATGCGGGGTGATGAACTAATGCATGTTATTTACAGGTGAGATGATGCATGTGAGGAGGGCTGGACAGAGGTTGCTGATTTTGGGATTCAAGCAGTTGGCTTGAGTTGCTGCATGATTTTGGGGTACTAAACTATTAGGAACATTAATATTTATCAGGTGTAAGTGTCGGATAATGTTTATAAGTGTAAGTGTCGGATAATGGTGTTTAGTAATGCTTGTTATGTAGCAGCAGATTTTTGGTAAACAACAGATATTAGCAATTTTGTGGTTTGAATGAAGAAGCTTGTTTTTATGTCCAACAGCTCCTTGGGTACCTCTCAAATGATGAATCTATTTTTGTCACTATTTGTTCTGTCAATCCTAATTTAGACTAACATAATATGAAAAACCATTTGTCACATCAAACCTTCCCAAATTGTGACAGATGTGATTTGTCATAATAAATTAACAAAATATCAAATACGACAAACATTGTGACAAAAATATCGTCATAACAAACATTTTCGTCACAATAAGTACCAGCGAATAATGTTTTACGTGACAAAATCGTGTTTTGTTGTGACAAAAAATATCGTCATAACATACATTTTCGTCACTATAAGTAACAGCGAATAATGTTTTATGTGACAAAATCGTGTTTTGTTATGACAAAACATATCGTCATAACAAACATTTTTGTCACAATAAGTACCAGCAATTAATGTTTAACGTGACAAAATCGTGCTTTGTTGTGACAAAATATCACGTTATTGCTACAAGATATTTCGTCACATTACATACTTATTATGACGCCTTATGTTTGTCACAATACGGTATAAGTTGTTGTGACAAGATGATTTTTTTTTGTCACAATATACCTATTACGACGGGGTTCTTGCAACGAAACTTTGTGACAAACATTTTCGTCACAATAAACCTCATGTGACGAAGAAGGTACTTAATGTGACGAAATCCATTCGTCATAATATACCAAAAATGTTGTAGTGTATATTGATAATGGTGAACATATATATTAAAAGAATGAAATAGAGTTCATAACAGAAAAAGAAACCAGCGGCCAAGGATCAACATAATTGAACCAAATTTACCTCTGCGACACCAAGTGTTCATTTGGGTATGATAATGGATTGGTGAGTTTCACCAAATCAGCAGGTTGTCTCGAGAGCTTGCAGCTGGAAGAGTGCAATAGAGTTACAGAAGCAGGAATCATCAGGCAATCTTAAACTGTGGAGCCAAGTTGAAATCACTCAACCTGGTGAGGTGCATGGGAATCAAGGATACAAGGGCTTTCACTTCATCACATCTCAATGAAGCCTTCTTGTTTCTGATATGTTATTGGTTTTTGTTGTTGTTGCTGTTTTGGTTTGTGTGCAAAAGAAATGGTTTTGTTGTTTCTAGGAACGAGAACAGGAGATGCAAAGAAGGGATTAGATGAAATTTTGCACAGGCATTTACGGGTAATATGGGTATCCATTTTCCGTCCCGTATGGGTAACGGGTACCCGTTAACCCATACGGGTTTGGGACATGGGATGGAGATTGCTCTACAAATGGGATTGGGTAGCCGTTTCAAACGGGATGGGTATCCCATCCCGTCTCGTTGCCCACCCCTAGTGGACATTGTTCTACCACCTTACTTAATTCCATTGAGGGCAATTTCAAGCTTAAGTGTGGGGGTATTCTATTATGCTTGTGTGTGTGAATGATTGGTGTGATTTTGAATGCTTTGGAGCATAGTTGAATGCCTAAAATTAAATAAATTGAGGGCTCCAAGCAAAGAAACTTCTACATTTGCATGATCATAGTGGCATTTTTGGTGATTTATTTTGAATCTGGTGGCTATGAGCGTGATGTATGGATGACTTGTTTGTGATTGAGAACAACCTGCGATGATGACAGGGATATGCATTAGGGTTCTCTAAATTTTAGTTCTCATGTGTTTGCGAACCAATGGATGTTTTGGATTGATTATTCATTGATTACAATTACTTATGCATCAAAATTGGGAAGTCAGAATGAATCATAGAGCATATAAGTAGCCATGTGAGCTTTGTGTCTGCTCGTCTCTTTCATGTGTGATAGATCCCTCTTACCATGATGCGTAGCATTCACATTGCCACTAGTAAGGAATATGGAGGAATAGGATTAGCCCACGACCCAAAAATTGACTTGCCCCAATTGTGTTATCACCTAGTCAACCCTTTTGAGTAGTGTGTCTTAGGATCGCTCTTACAATTTGAGCTTAATTAAGATTCAATAGAGCGACCCTTGCTTTCTTCGTATCTACACCGTTGTTGAGTCATCCTTGTGACTTGGAGCTCCATTGAGGTTCCGCATAGCAATTCATGCATGGTTCTGCTAAATGCGAAAATGAGTGTTGGAGGAAAATCTTAAAAAGTGAGCATGTGGTTTTGGAGTTCAAAGATGCGACATATTTTGTTAACTCTCTTCTTCTCCTTAAGAAAAAAAAAGAGAAGAAAAAATCAAGGAAGAAAAAATAAAAGGAAGAAAATGAAGAAATAAAGAGGGAAAATAAAAGAAGAGAGTGACCACAAAGTTGTTCATGCTCTAAAAAGTGTGTTTCTCATTCGACTCTAACTACACATCCCAATCGACAACCAAGCATAGCAGGAGACTGGGTGTAGCATAAGGTAAGCAAGTAATAAAATAATCGAACCACGGGTCTATAGGTGTACCTTACTTTGGCTTAAGGTTTCGTTATCTAGCCAACCTAGAATAGTGATTAAGAAACTAAGCTAACTACACTAACCTAACTACTACCCTAGGTAATTACATGTTATGTAGCTCTCTTAGCTTGAATCCCCGTAGTTTTATCATTTGGAACGATGTTGCGTAGAATCCTAGCTTAATCGACTCAATTCCTCTACCAATAGGAGATAGACCCCCCCGGGAATTCACCTGGAACGATGTAGCAATGAATGGTTAGTGCTCTATTTAACCTAGGGGTTCATATAGCGTCAAGAAATCAACACTATTGACTCCCTCGGGGAATAACCGGGAATGAATGACATATGATAGGAGTGAACCTAAGACGCCAATAATGGGCTCTAAGGAAATTTTCTCCCACCTAAGTAAAAAAAACCCAATTGACATGAAATGGAATCAACATTCATGTAATTCATGAAAACCATCCATCAACTAAATAAAATGAGCAATCAAACATAGAATTCATAACATACATCAACATCAAACCAAAATCTAGACCTAGGGTTCTTCAGCCTAAGAGAAGAGAGCTAATTCTGGAGAGAGAAGAGAGAGATTAGAAAATAGCTCAAGATCTTCATCTTCTTCATTTTCTAGGCTTGAATCTTTTGCTCTAAGATCAACCCATGCCTCCAATTAAGATCTATCTCTCTCTAGAAGTTCCTCTTCGGGTGCTTTGGGTCAGAACCCTAAAGAAAATCCAAGCTCTCCCCTTTCTTCCCGCAGCTGCAGAATTTATATTACCAAAAGCACTCAGTTTTGATTGTATGCTTAGGAAATTGATTCAAACTCAACACGGTCAGAGAATACAGGGGTGTTCCTGATCGTGTTCTTCAGTCTTCACCGCTACGCTCCATTTTTCGGTCGACGTCATGCCCTTTTCGTTGATTTTCATGGTCTCGGAGACCACGATCCTTGCATGTGTCTGCGAGTTGTAAGAACTCTCCTGGAATGCAGCTTCTGACACGCGCTATGAACACGGCTCTATTGAGGTTGTGTTCGTTGATTGGTAAAATACCACACATGAGTTACCGGACATGCTAGTTTGATGTATCCCATTTGATACCTTCGTATCCGAGAATCAACAAATTCATCTCCGCATTGTTCACAAAACTTTAATTTCCTTTGACTTGAAGCGCGGATGGGTCCTGCTGGCTGTGGCGAAACTTGTTACCTTATATTCTCAATTTCTTTCCATTCTTGCCTCCATCTATCCCAAAACTTGTTCTTGACATTTCCACGCATACTAGGACCTGAAATGTGACAAAAGAAGTACAACTAGCATAAAATAGGTCTAGGAATGACGATTGCTGAGTTAAAAAATCAAGATATGAAGTGGTGAAAATGTGTAATTATGCCCGAATCAAAGTCCCCCACACTTAAATGTTCGTTTGTCCTCAAGCAAACCATGTAAAACACAAAGTAAGCTAACAACTTCTTTCTTGAAAACTTTAAGGGCATGTCATAGAAGAGCAAAACACGTGAATCACAATGGCTACTTGAAACCGACATATGAACGACAACAACAACAACAACTGTGAAAACCACCACAATCGACATTTAAATGCAGTAGAATCTTGGAAACATAGAGTTCTCACTTTGTTCAAAGAACCAATACACAACCTGTCTAAATGACTCACTAATCACAGTTATCCATGCATAAAAATCAAGTCATCATAACAAACAACTGAGAAATATTGGTCCTCACCGAGGTACATGATTAAATGAAGAAAGAATCACACACGCTCAACCACTGGGGCCAGGACCATTTTGATGCAAAAGATGTGCATACTCAAACGCTCAGCCCTATCGTCTCTTCACCATGACAGTAGCCTCTAAATGCTAGAGTTCACAAAGATGGGTGTCCTTGTCCGGGGGTCTTAGACAAGGTTTAGATGGCTGGCTAGGGTCTAGGACATGGAGAAAAAAGCTTTTTGGGTGGTAGCAGGTGTAGCATGAGGTTCCAAAATTTCACATAGAACCTATTCAAAATGACCAAAGACCACTCACAACATCCACAAACCACCTGTTCCACAATTCCAAACCACAACCAATCACAAACACTATCCACACATACTTTTTTGCTACAAATGCTATCGAAAATGTTTAAACACAAGAGTGAAGGAGGTAAACAATCATGTAGGTGTCTCTAAGCATGACTGCTAAGAAACACTCCTTTAGATCATAACCAACTTTGGTGGCAACTCTATTTTCTTTTAGGCAAAATACACTTTCATAGCCATAACTATTCGCGTTGTGACAAATATAGCCAAGTTTGAAAAAAAATACACTCATATAGCCAAAAATTATAAGTTTGTAAGACTTTATTGTAAACTATAGCCATTTACGTTACTGCCCTTAAAATCATCACGGACGCCGTCATCGCCAAGTGACATGGCTTCCACCTGGATGGCATATCGTCGCCAACTAGACTCGATTTGCCCACGTCACCGCTGACTTGGATTCCACCAACAGATTAAAAAAATATTATATAATTAACTAGTTTCCCTTTAATTACTCCTCGCTAATTACCTCCGCCATCTTCTTCCGGATCCAAAATCCAATCGCCGACCTTCTCTTATAGTCTTGTTCACAATCGAGACCACAAAAATCTTGCACATCACCTCCCTTCTTCTTCTTCTTCTTCTTGATTTGACGAAATCAATTTCGTTGCTCACAACCTAACCCGTCCTCAGTCAATAAACTGATTGGCCAAATCAAACCCATACCCTAAACCTAGAATCGATGTGTGTGGATGAACTGGGGGATTCCTCTATTTTGGCTTCTTCAGCAACGGCTGCAGTGGTTGGGGCTTCTTCTTCGTCCGACTCCGCCAATGGCAGGGGAGGATCAATCGACAACGTCAGATCTATAAAAATGTGTTGAACAGTGGTCGATGGAGGAACGCAAGGAAGGACTTATACCTAGTTGCTTTGGAGTGGGCATAACAATGGTGAAAGAGGACGAGTTTTTGTCGTCACCGCCATCAAGGTGAGGATTTGGCCGGAGATCGACGATTTCGTCGGAGAGGATTCCACCTCCAATCGACCGCATTGCTTCTCCATCCAAGCCGAGCAGCATAGAGCAGCCGCGACCTTCATTTCTCCCTTTCTCTTTCGCTGCCGACAGGTGAAGAAACCCCAGCTCTGTTCTGCTCTCGTCTATCACCTACATCGATTCTCCTTTAGTTTCCCCACCGCCGACGTGACTCCCCTCTAGCACTATTGCCCTCTAATTTGCCACATATCTTGAAAATCTTGACCGCTTTGTTGGAAGGACCAGGTAGAACGCGAAGACGATTGACGACTAGGGATTGGGGATCTATCAACGATTGGAGGCTGTAGAGAATTGAAGCGCGACGACTGAAAACGAAGACGATTGCCCACAGAACGCATCATCAACCCACTTCAAATAGCGTAGAAACCCTTGGGTTTCTGAGTTGCGAACTCCAAAGTAGAGGAAGGGAGATAATTGATGAATGGCAATGATGCTTCTGATTGATTGGAGAGTCGAATAAGGAGAGAAGAGAAAGGTTAAAATTGGAACGAAATGGTCAACAGGGTAGAGGGATTGGTAAAGTTAGTTATTTAACCTTTTTTAAGTAATTGAATTAGAAACTCTTTCCACCTATATTGCCACGTAGATGAACCTAGGCCACGTTGCAAACATCCATTAGTCCAGTCAGCAGTTGCGAGATTGCTGTTAAAATTTTGGAAGAAATAGCTATATGAGTGTATTTTTTCAAATTTGGCTATATTTGTCACAACGCGAATAGTTATAGCTATGAAAGTGTATTTTGCCTTTCTTTTATTCCCTCCTTACTACTTTATTTTTCTTTTCTTTTCTTGCTTGAGGGGAAGAAGAGAGTAAAAAATACATGCCACATCTTGAACTTTATGAACAATGCTCACTTTTAAGAGCTTCCTCCAACACTCACTTTTCATTTTTAGCAGAACCATGCAAGAATCACTATGTGGAACCTCAATGGATTTCAAGTAACGGGAGATCCGAGACATAAGGATGACTCAACAATGGTGTAGCCACGAAGAAAGCAAGGGTTACTCCAACTAAGATCAAATAGCGGGAGCTACACAACACAATAACGAATCTTAGACACACGACTCAAAAGGGTCGACTAGGGAATATTATGATCCGGACAGTCAGCTTTTGGGTCATGGGCTAATCTATGCCTCCATCTTCCTCACTAGTGACAACGTGAATGCTACATGTCATGGTAAAAGCGATCTATCAAACAACAAAGAAATGAGCAAACACAAGTATCACATGGCTGCTTATATGTTCTATGATTCATTCTAACTTTCCAATTTTGTGCATAAGTAATTGTAATCAATGAGTAATCAATCCAAAACATCCATTGGTTCGCAAACACATGAGAACTGAACATTTACACAACCTAATGCATATCTCAGTTATCATCATAGGTTATTCTCAATAGCAAACAAGTCATCCATACATCAAAGCTCATAGCCACGAGATTAAAAACGAATATAAAAAGGTGCCACTATGATCATGCAAATGTAGAAGTTTCTATGCTTAGAGCACTCATTTTTTTTCCAAATTGGGGCATACAAAACTAGGCTCTACTCAAAATCTCACAAATCATTCACACACGCAGCATAATAGACTACCCCCAACACTTAAGCTCGACATTGCCCTCAATGGCGTAAAATAAGGAGGTAGAACGATGTTACCGGATAGGGTGTGAATGTTGGTGGATGATATCAGAGGTTGGGTGAGATTCGTAAGAGCAAGGCAACTTCCAAACACCAATAGCTACCCAAAAGGTTGTTTTATTGAAGAGAAAAAAAAACCCGATGGGATGGGTTGCCTCCCACCAAGTGCGTCTTTAACGTCGTGAGCCAGATGGTGGTGTCTCTTCAAGTTTCAGTACACCCTGAAACCTCATTGAAGTGGAGTTTCTCGTTGGTGAGGTGGTGCCTTAAGTCACGAGCTTCGGACGAGTCCATGATTGAGGGCTGATGAACTTGAATGGTCTTGAGGCTCCACCCAAGAGAGCTCTTCTTCTTTCCTTATTCATTCTTACCTATGCCCCACACCATGTAAGGCATCATGGATTGGCCAACATTGTATCCACCAAGAGGAATCGATGATGGTTTGGACTTAGCTTGGCAAAGGGCTGCAAACGGGTCCTTCTCGAGTAGCGCATCAAGATATAGTGGAAAGCTTTCATAGCACTTGTAACTTGTAGAAGCTTCATCCAACATGACCTCGTCCACATCTTGGACACCCTTTGCATCTTCAACCCCAACATCCCTTTCTTCACTTTGTTCCTCCACTTAAGAACAATCAAGATCTTCCTATTCTTCAATGCTCACTTCCTCCTCTCCAACCTCTTCTTTCTCCTTCCCATTCATGTCTTCAAGCACGGTATGAAGGGCACGATTCCATGCAAGATCATTGAAAGGGTTCTCTTTTTCCTCTGCCCTCATGACTTGGTCTTCAAAGTTGTTCCCGGGAAGGGGATTGGTGCGAAAATAATCAATGCAACCCTCTTAATCATTCTCACCACGGGAGCTTTACGGGATGAGTTCCTCTTGCTCCATGCGATTTTCATTGCCTTATAAACCTTCTCTCTCTCCCGTAATGATGAGAGGCGATAGCTTGCCCAAGCTCATGCCACCTTCTCTTGCAATGTCAAGCCAGGAGGAAGGAGGGGTTGGAAATCCATGTTGGAGCATGCTCTTTTGAAGTTCTCCACGGAAAGCTCCAATTTGGACTTCACTTTGAGTTGTGGGAGATCCAAGTTCGAGCATCCTTAATCGGTGCCTCGGGGAAACTGCTCCACCATGAGCTCCAATTCCTTCTTTGGATTCGGATGTGGAGTGTCACATGGTCTTGAGGAATGCCCCAGGAAGGCCTCCATTGACAACTCCAACTTGGATTTCTCCTTGGGTTGTCGAGGAAAGTTTTCTCGGTATGGGGAAACTTCTTGATATCCCCATGATCATGGTTGTTCTTTTTGGAAGAGAGGTTCATTATAGAACCCGATTCCTTGGCTTCCACCCTCTTGATTACTCTATGAAGATCCGGGTTACCCCCATTCGGGTGGTTGTAGATACCCCCACATCTTGTAGAAGCAATTGGGATTCATGATTCAACCTACAAATAGAAAAAGAAAATCAAACAAACACAAACTACCCTTCTAGATGAAGAGTGGGTCAATAAACACACAAAAAAAAGGCTAAAGCAACGACCTAAGCTTTTTTCCGATAACCTAGATTGTTTCTCGATAACGGCGTCAAAAACTTGGCTCGACTCTAACTACACATACCAATCAACGGCCAAACATAAACGACGACCGGGTGTAGCATAGGGTAAGCAAGTAATAAATTAATCAAACCACAGGTCTCTAGGTGTACCTTACTCGGGTTAGGTTTCATATCTAGCCAACCTAGAATAGTGATTAAGAAACTAAGCTAACTACACTAACCTAACTACTACCCTAGCTAATTACAAGCTATGGAGCTCTCTTAGGTTGGATCCCCCTAGTTCTATCATTTGGACCGATGTTGCTTACCATCCTAGCTCAATCGAATCAATTCATCTACCAATAGGAGATAGACCCTATTGGGGATTCACTCAAAATGGTTTGGCAATGAATGGGTAGTGCTTTATTCAACCTAGGGGATCATATACTGTCAAGAAATCAACACTATCAACTCCTCGGGGATTACCTGGAATGACATATGATAGTAGCGACCCTAAGACGCCAATAATGGGCTCTAAGGGAATTTTCTCCCACCTAGGTCAAACCACTAGACCTAGGGTTCTTCAACCTAAGAGAAGAAGGCTAATTCTAGACAGAGAAGAGAGAGATTACAAAATAGGTTAAGATCTTCATCTTCTGGGCTTGAATCTTTGACTCCAAGATCAACCGAAGCTTCCAATTAAGATCACTCAAGATCACACTCTCTCTAGAAGTGCATCTTTGGGTGCTTTGGGTCAGAACTCTAAAGAAAATCCAAGCTCTCCCCTTTCTTCCCGCAGTTGGAGAATTTATATTTTGTAAAACCAGCTCAAACACAGTCACGAAACACTACCGTGTTGAATGGTTGTGTTTACTTCCCAAAAGTGCTCTGTTTTGATTGTCTGCAGAGAAAATCGTGTTCCTTGACCGTATTCTTTAGTCTTTATCGCTACGCTATGTTTTCAGTCAATGCCAAGGCCTCTTCTTTGATTGTCACGGTCTAGTAGACCGTGATCCTTGCATGTGTTCGCGAGATGTCAGAAGGCCCCGAGAACTCAGCTCCTAACACGGGCTATGAACATGGCCGTGTTAAGGCCTAGTTCGTCGATTGGAAAAAATTGCCTTTGACTCCATTTCTTGCCAACACGGGTAGGGAACACGGTCGTGTTACCTCTGGTTTCTCCATTACTGTCCATTCTTGCCTCCATCCATCCCGAAACTCATTCTCGACCTTTTCATGCGTACTAGGACTTGAAATGTCACAATAATGTACAACCTAGCATAAAATAGGTTGAGGAATGAAGAATAGCATTTTGATTCACATTTTTTGTGCCTCTATGACATGCCCTAAAAGTTTTCAAGAAAGAAGTTATTAGCTTACCTTGTGTTGTCCTGGGTTTGCTTGGAGACAAGCAAACATTTTGAAACGACCCAATCCTTTTTGAAAACCAAACAGTAACTCAAACCACAAACCAGTTACTCCCGAGCAACCCAAAACAGGTTTACAAGTCAAAACAAAACAAAAAAAAAATCAACAACAACAATGTTTAAGATTCTCAAGTGAAATGCCCTAAACACTTGAGCGACCTCAATCCCGAGCAACAAAACATAAAACACAATCCTTGAGTTTCCCAGTATACTCATTAAGACATGAAACTAAAGACAGATATAATGTGAGGTTCCATCTCGTTACCTAGATCCAATTGACATCTTCAGGTTTGTCGTGGCTGCTCTCCTCGGGCAACCTCCTCTTGATGGATGCGTCCTCTTCCCCTCTCTGCACCTGGTGAGTAAGAAGGGGTCAGTCTCGTCGTTACTTCCTAAGGTCTTCGTCCTAAGAAACTCCTTACTAAACACGTTATTTGGGTTCTTGACTTAGACAAAAGTCGTTCTCGCTTTCATCCTTTATACATTGTTATGAAACAGTCTATAAGAGATCTCTACTCCCATCTTATC